AGGTGCTTTTTCCTTCAGTGGAACAATGGAGCTTCAGGAGGTGCAGGGGCGTCAAACGGCTGCTGGCTATGTCCAGATGTTGCAGAGAGCATCCCTCATGACTGAGGGCCCTCTTCTGTGTGGTAACGACTGGGTTTTTCAACAGGACAACGCTACATTAAATCGCCTAAAGGACAAGGCACTTCTTCCACGAGAGTACCATCACTCTTTTGGACCATCCTGCATGTTCCCCTGATATAAATCCAATTGAGAACCTTTGGGGATGGATGACAAGGGAAGTTTACAGAAATGGACAACAGTTCCAGACAGTAGACGCCCTTCCCCTTTCTTCTTGTTGCATATTGAAGCTCTACTTGGAACCTTGTTAAGATCCAACCATGCAAAACGATGCATTTTTTGCCATTTTAAACTTTTGATTGAGACTACATATACACACAAAGGATAACGAACGGGAACGGGTCACAGGTGGGAACACAGCTGACACTAATCCGATTGACACACGAGACAGAGACTTTGAAACTAACAACAAGATGGAGACATGCAAACTTGACACGAGTCAAGGGAGTAACCCACAAGGGGACACAAAACACGAGGAGATAAGAGATAAACAGATACGAAGACAAGAGTGACTAAACATGAAACGTGGAACACGGGGGAGGCGGAAAAAGAACCATAAAGGCTAGATGACAAAACCAAGATCAGAATATACAAATACTACACAATGCAGAGACACAACAATAAGAACCAAAACCAGGAACGTCAGATGAACTTTAGAATATTAAATAAACCAGAATCAAATGGTCCAAATACATAAACCCTGCATCACGGAAACATTACAGATGTTTAATTTGAATCTTTACAGGTGTTAGCAGGTTCGATTTGGATGGAGCCTCCAGCTTTTGTGCTGAGCAGGAATCTACATGAATGTGCTAAAATGCTGAAATGTGCCTCGTGCATATTTTCTTATTTTATTAATTTTTTGTTTTTTTCTGTTTTCTTCCATTGTGTTGGGTTATGTGTAGTGCCTTCAGCCATGCAAAGAACTGTGGGAAACCAGGAAGGTGGCATCTCCAAAGTCTTGCGAGGTAAGACGGAAACAGCGCGTGGCATTTTTGTGCTCTTGTGCAAGTCTCGGCAGCCTCGGTGGCATTGTCGTTCTTTGCAGACGCACGCTTTTGTTGGCACCACAAAGCTGTTTTGACCTTGTGCAATAAATGAGCGTTTGTGTGTGTTTTTATAAAGCTTTGTGCACTTCTAGTATACATGGGACACTGTGCAACAGTTTTATGTGCATTTTGTGTGAGTGTGTGTGGCCTGTTTATTTGTAAAGCCGGTTTCTGTGGCTTTCTGAGAGATTAGTTTTTCATCACAATAGCTGAAGCGTGTTACTCGCTGGATGGCTGATTGGCTCGCTGGTTATGAACACAGGGTAATTCAGAGCTATTAGTGAAAGCTTGTGTTTACATTTTCCTGATCTACAGCTGTCTGCACAAACAGAGAAATGCGCACATGCACGCACACGCATGCACACGCATGCACACGCATGCACAAGCACACACATGTAGCTTTTTGGACCAGCCTTTAAACAGACAGTAGGAGTATACCACAGGAAGCGCTTTCACCCTTACTGTGTGTTTTTGTGGCCTCGTGTGTGTTCCTATACACTGTGTGTTATTTCTGTGATGTGTCAACTGTAATAATAATTACACCCACCGTGCTTTACTCTCAGAAGCAGACAGAGTGTGTGACAAGCAGGGAGTTTCTGGCCTCGTTAAGGTCGTCTCGTCAGGGAGACTGCCCTCCGCCTCAGCGAGCCACAGGATTTGCCGCGGCCTGCGTGGAGAGCTGCTCGTCAGACCAGCACTGCCCCTCCCCCAGGAAGTGCTGCTCCAATAGCTGTGGACATACTTGCCAAGCCCCAGCCAATCTGTACAAAGGTAAAGGCAACTTTTGGAGTTTGTGTGAAGCATAATGTGGTAGCTGTTACTGATCGTCCTATCAAGTGGTTTTGATAGATAGACTGTAAATGAGTAATTAGACCCCAGTTATTAGACTTAATAAGGCAAAATGCATCACAGTGTGTGTCTAAGTCGTCCCGGGAACTCCCATAACTGTCCAAATGTTTCTGTGTCATCTAATTGTAATGTCAGTATGTTACTAGTCAAGTGAGTTATACTGATATGTAACAACAAGCTTGTAACCTGGTCTGTCCTCGCAGGTGTCCCTCTGAAGCCTCGAAGAGACATTAGCTTTTTGGAGGACTCGGAGGGTCGTGTGAAGGTGATGTGGGTGTCGAAGTTCAATGTCAGCGTGGAGCCCGTCGTTTACATACTCCAGTCCCGCTGGAACATCGGCATTCACCCCAGTGAAGACCACGCCTCTCCATGGGCTACTGTAGCCATGGTAAATGGTTAATAGTCACTTTCCATGTGCTAATTAAGTAGTGAGAAAAACTGATATTTACATAACAATTAAGAAGTAAACTTATCATAGACTAAGGAGGGGACTTGTCCTAATAATAGCCTTATGTTTGTGTCTGTTATTGGGGGTTGTTACATGATGTGATGATTATTGATGATTATTTGGGACAGTTGTAGAGTCATTCGGGCTGTAAAACTGGCTCCCTGTGCCTTTAAAAGTGGAGCCGCCCCACAAAGTTTGTAACATATCTTTACCTCATAACTCTCAATTTGCCTTGAATGATGAAACTTCTCAGCTATGGAGATGGATGTTAGACTTAGTTTCCACCTCATCAGTCTGCTGCCTTGCTGTCTAAACCTCTCCACCCCAGTCATCTCCCATTGTGCACACGCGCGAGCGCGTGTGTGTGTGTGTGTGTGTGTGTGTGTGTGTGTCTGTGTGTGTGTGTGTGTATGTGGGTGTGTGTCGTCTGTGTGTGTGCGTCTGTGTGAGGTTAGGTAAATAAGCAGAGCTTAAAAAGGAACCACAGGCAGCCACAGTCATTGCTCCGGCTGACTCTGAATGACTGAATGCTCATTATGGACTTAAATAGATGGTCTGTGTGTCTGTGTGTGTGTGTCTGTGTGTGTGTGTGTCTGTGCGCGTGTGTGTGTCTGTGTGTCTGTGTGCGCTGTGGATGAGTAGATTTGAGCCGCAGCAGTCACATTTGCACTGTCAAGGAGACAAAACAAATTAATCTTTAAAGATTTTAACCATAGTTTGGATAAACCGTTTCATTTCAACACTATCAGAGGAATTCCAGCCTGACAGTGTTTATCTGACATCATCTGACAGGATGTACAACTTTGTTTTTGCAGCTGAACACTCAAAAATCCTTCCTGAAAGAAGTCATTTTCTGCTTTTGATTAGAATCGTATTAGAGAGGTGTTTAGGAGGATGCAGTTTGTGTCTCTTCCATATTAAATAAACCAGAATCAAATGGTCCAAATACATAAACCCTGCATCACGGAAACATTACAGATGTTTAATTTGAATCTTTACAGGTGTTAGCAGGTTCGATTTGGATGGAGCCTCCAGCTTTTGTGCTGAGCAGGAATCTACATGAATGTGCTAAAATGCTGAAATGTGCCTCGTGCATATTTTCTTATTTTATTAATTTTTTGTTTTTTTCTGTTTTCTTCCATTGTGTTGGGTTATGTGTAGTGCCTTCAGCCATGCAAAGAACTGTGGGAAACCAGGAAGGTGGCATCTCCAAAGTCTTGCGAGGTAAGACGGAAACAGTGCGTGGCGTTTTTGTGCTCTTGTGCAAGTCTCGGCAGCCTCGGTGGCATTGTCGTTCTTTGCAGACGCACGCTTTTGTTGGCACCACAAAGCTGTTTTGACCTTGTGCAATAAATGAGCGTTTGTGTGTGTTTTTATAAAGCTTTGTGCACTTCTAGTATACATGGGACACTGTGCAACAGTTTTATGTGCATTTTGTGTGAGTGTGTGTGGCCTGTTTATTTGTAAAGCCGGTTTCTGTGGCTTTCTGAGAGATTAGTTTTTCATCACAATAGCTGAAGCGTGTTACTCGCTGGATGGCTGATTGGCTCGCTGGTTATGAACACAGGGTAATTCAGAGCTATTAGTGAAAGCTTGTGTTTACATTTTCCTGATCTACAGCTGTCTGCACAAACAGAGAAATGCGCACATGCACGCACACGCATGCACACGCATGCACACGCATGCACAAGCACACACATGTAGCTTTTTGGACCAGCCTTTAAACAGACAGTAGGAGTATACCACAGGAAGCGCTTTCACCTTTACTGTGTGTTTTTGTGGCCTCGTGTGTGTTCCTATACACTGTGTGTTATTTCTGTGATGTGTCAACTGTAATAATAATTACACCCACCGTGCTTTACTCTCAGAAGCAGACAGAGTGTGTGACAAGCAGGGAGTTTCTGGCCTCGTTAAGGTCGTCTCGTCAGGGAGACTGCCCTCCGCCTCAGCGAGCCACAGGATTTGCCGCGGCCTGCGTGGAGAGCTGCTCGTCAGACCAGCACTGCCCCTCCCCCAGGAAGTGCTGCTCCAATAGCTGTGGACATACTTGCCAAGCCCCAGCCAATCTGTACAAAGGTAAAGGCAACTTTTGGAGTTTGTGTGAAGCATAATGTGGTAGCTGTTACTGATCGTCCTATCAAGTGGTTTTGATAGATAGACTGTAAATGAGTAATTAGACCCCAGT